CCCCAAAACCCCAAAACCCCAGATGTAAAAAATATCAAAGTAAAAACTTAACTTAATAAAATCAATAAAATGTAATTTAAAAATGCAAATCTTTGAAGGTATTCTTGACACAGCATCTAATCATATTTTCTTGGTTATTTCATTGTTGATTTTGCTTGTGATTCTGATTTGGCTAAAAGCAATCTAAGTAAATGAGATGAAATTATACCATGATTTGGAATCGACACATTTATTCCCAGCTCTATAAAATTAAAACTTTAGAGTGCTTAAGTACAAATAATCCTACTTGCTCTTCCATAGATTATTACAAAGTTTGTTTCATGCATTATTTGAAAGATGTTTTCGAGATTCTAGCATTCGATTTATTAATGAGATATTTGAGTTTAGAGAGGGTGGGACAGTTGCTATTGATTGGGTCAATGTGCTGCCAAGCATGGATGATCATAAACCATTGCTCATAATAAGTCCTGGATTTAGTGGAGATAAAACCTCTGCTTACATGTATTGCATTTACAAAAAGGCAATTAATGATGGATATTATCCAGTAGTTATTAGTTTTGAGGGATCATCTGGTAGACCATTAAGTGTAATATTAACATTATCTTTTAAATATTTATAGCATCCAAGAATTTATAAAGGTTGGAGTGGAGAAGATATTCAAGAACCCTTAGAGTATATTTACGAGAGGTACTGTATTGATTAAAAAGGTGAAAGAATAAGACAGGTCTTTTTCTTAGCAATATCATTTTCAGGAACAATTCTCACTCATTATTTGGGAAAAGAGGGCAGTGAACATAAAATTATCACAGCTGCTGCATCTGTTGGTACCTAACAGAGATAATGGATTAGTAATATTACACTCAAAAAGTCATTTTGTGGTTAAACTAAAAAGATCTTTGGACTTTAACTCAGAAGTATATTTGCGGAGAATGTTGATATGCTATAAGATCATTTTGAGACAGAGCACAATATTGACCTTCCCTATTATATATAATAAAACAGAGGTATAGATTAATACACTCTTTTGATTGCTAAAATGAATGGCTTTGAAGATATGGATGAATATTACTATAGAGTATCAATGATTCATTCAATTCCAAAAGTTAGAGTGCCTATGTTTTACATATACGCTAGGGATGATCCAGTTATTGGTTATGATCATATTGATTTTGAGGCTTGCTAATAAAATCCCTATGTACTAGTAGGATTAACAAAAAGAGGAGCACACGTCTGTCATGTTGAATCAGTTATTAAGCCATCTATGTGGTTCGCTAAACCAGCTATTGAATTTCTAAATTCCTTTAGAGTTGATTACTGAAAAAGTGACAATTTAACTGGAATCAAATTAAGTTAAAATTGTTTTTATTTCTATTTTATTAATCAGAATAAATTTTAAAATTATGCTTGCTCGGGGTTTTGGGGTTTTGGGGTTTTGGGG